TCCTTTGCCAACCTGGCTAGCCTCCTGTGGATACACTTCAGCTCATCCATGTCTTTCCTTTCCATGTGGCCCAGAAAATCAAACACAATACTCCAGATGTGGTCTGACCAGGACAGAGTATAAGAAGTCTACCCCCAATTCAATTCTGGATTCTATTTCTATTTTATCACACTCTAGGAACACACTGTTGATAGGTGGACTTCCCAGCCACTAGGACTCAAGATGTTTCTTATACAAACTTCTGTTAATTCGAACCTCCTCCATTTAGGAAGCTAGGCTTTTTTTGAACCTGAGTGTAAAACTGTACATTGATCATTATTAAATTTAAATCTCATTAGATTCAGCCCAATGTTTGAGCCTGTCTATTTTTCGGTGTCTTGGCTCTATTATCTGTCAGGGAAGGTGTGAGCTTTCAGCTTGGTGTCATCTTATAAGTATGTCATCTATACCTTTCTTCAAGTCATTAATAAGAAACAAACACAAAAAGGAAACAGCAGAGGCCAAGTAGGTCTATGGGCACTTGATAAGTGAGCTGACAATGAACTTTTTGGATCAGGCCGTTCCACCAGTTCTATCCAAAGACAACTACCCATCTGTACAAATACAATCTATCCTACAGTTCTCCATCTTTTCCACAGAGGTAGCATAAGAGATTTTTGTCAAACACTTTGCTAAAATCTAAGTTAAACTATAGCTACAGAATTCCCCTGATCTACAGTCTAGTAATGCTGTCAAAAAAGGAATTGAGATCGTTCTGATCTGATCTGTTCTTGATAAAGCCATGCTGGGTTTCCTGTGATCACTGATTCCTCTACTGGATTTTCACCATGTAATCCTTTAATAATAAATTATAGAATTTTTTCAAAAATCAAAGTCAAACTCAGTGGCCTATAATTTGCAGACTTCCTTCTCTTCCTTTTTTTTTGAAAATTGAGACACTTTCCCTTTTCAAATCTTCCCTGTTTCTCAACACTGATACTGCTTCAGGAATACTACTACTACTAATAACATAATTACAATAATAACTGACAGCCATGTGCCAAGCATTGTGCTAAGCACTTTGCAAATAGTATTTCATTTGATTCTCACAACAACCCTGGGAGGTAGAGGTTATTATTGAACCCATTTTACAGTTGAGGAAACTGAAGCAGACAGCAGCTAAATGAATTGCCCAGCATCACACAGTTAGTAAAGATTCTGGGGCTGGATTTGAACTCAGGTCTTCCTGACTCCAGGCCCAGCACTCTGTGAACTTAGCACCACCTAGCTGCCCCTCATCATATGTTTTTTTCTTTCAGTACCCAAGAAGGTAATTCATCCAGATCTGGTGACTTGAACTGATCAGGGACAGCTTGATAATCTTTTATCACCTCTCTATTTATCTTGGAGACCAACTCAACTAGTCATTCTGCCCTTTCCAGTGCAAAGATCATTCTCCTTGGCAGAGAAAATAGAAGCAAAATAAAAATTGAACCTCTCTGATTCCTCTCTCACCGAGTTGTCAGTCATCTTCCCAAAGACAGGCCTGACCATGGTCACTCTCTACTCCATAAACTCCAGTGGCTCCCTATTGCCTCCAAGATCAAATAGAAAATCCTCTGGATTTGAAGCCTTTGATAACCTGTTCTTCCCCTACCCTTCTAGTCTTCTTACACTTTGCACCCCGCCTCCACCCCAGGATTCTTGGATCCAGTGACCCTGGCCTCTTGCCTGTTCTGTGAACAAGACCCTTCATCTGTAGACTCCATGCATTCTCACTGGCTGTCCTCCATGCCTGGAATACTCTCGCTGCTCATCGCCACCTTCTGGCTTCTCTAGATTTTGTCAAGTCCCATCTGAAGTCCTGTTTTCTTTAGGAAGCCTTTCCCAATCCGTCTTAATTCTAATGTCTTCCCTCTGTTGATTATCCTGTACATAGCCTGTTCATACATAGTTGTTTGCCCATTGTCTCCCTCACTAGACTGAACTCTTTGAGGGCAGGGCCTGTCCTTTGTTTATCTTTATATCCTGAGTGCTTATTATAGTGCCGGGCGCAGAGCAAATGTTCAATAAATATTTATTGTCTGACTGCCTCTCTGCCATCCTTTATCATCAACTTATCCACCAAGAGCCGTGCTCCTACTCTTTCTTCAATATTCTTTTCTTCTCCAACAAAATTTTTAAAAATTTTTCTGTTGTTACCTCTAGTTTCCTCACTAGATTCTGATTGTTCTGAATCCTAGCATCCATGGCACTATTCTTACAGGACCAGACCATGTTTTTTAATTCATCCTCCATTACCTGCCCTTGTTCTTATCCATCCATCTATCTATCTATCTATCTATCTATCTGTCTATTTCTATCTATCTAATCTATCTATCTATCTATCACACAAATTGGTAGGCACATTCCCTCTGCATCTAAATAAATATCTCTAAATTAATTTCTCTCTTTTCCTATTCATCAGAACTATTTCTCTTTGTGTCTTCAGGATTCCATTCTTTAGAGTCTCCCATCCATCCTGCTCTGACTTCCTGTGAATGATTTCAGGCCACAGGCTCTTACCTATCTTGCTCAGAACATTTTGAAATCTACCCCCCAAAACCAAGATGCATGCCATTCTATTCTTGGCCTTCCTCTCTTCTATCACAAATTCTGAGATGGAGTGGTCATTTCCTCCAATGTTCCTGTCATTTCTTACCTAGCAACCAGTTTCTGTCATTGGTGAGAATCAGATCTGGAATAGAATTTTCCCCTTGTTGGTTCCTCTAACTTTTGAAGAATGAAATTATCGTGAAGAAAAGTGAAGAATTTATTAACTGCTCTGCTTTTGGCAAAGAAAGAAGACAACAGATGTCCTGAAAATCAAAGTCTTCCCTACTCTAGCACACTGCCCCCCTGCCAGGCATGTGGTCTGTCTCCCAAATTTTGCAGTTTTCCCTGTTTCTGTACAAGTGGTCTGTAATGTGGTTTGATGACAACATCCCTTCAGTTTACCTTCCATTAATCTTCATTCGTGTGCTCTCCACCTTACCCCATCCCCTCACTTCATTCTCAGTGTATAGGACAGTGCTTTGTAGTAAACATTTAATAAATGGAGCAGATTTCTTGACATGCATATATTTTCTTTATATATATATATATATTTCTGCACTGACCTTTTACTTATCCTGTTCTTTTTAACCAAAGTATAATCAGGGGGTAGGGGGAAGAAGGGAAACAGCAGACTTCCTAGTCTACTCCAACTAGAATACATTTCATGGAGTGCTGAGCCTATGCCCTGGCAACTTCTGAGGAAATATTTGACTTCAGACTGACAGGCTTGTGGTTCACTCAGTGGAACTTTAAAAGTGTGACTCCTCTTTGCCTCACTCTCTCTTCCCATCAGCAGAATGTGTCAGAACTCTTTGAGCCTCTCCCTGGAGGCTCTCCTTCAACCTTGGCAGAATGGTGGCTTCCAGCGTATGTTTTCAGACAAACCAGTAAAAGGGTTGGGTTCATCCCCGACCTGGTCATCATCTTCTCCAAAGAACAGTGGAGTAATTGCCAGGAGCTTCTCCTAGAGGGCTTCAGCATTGACAGAGAACCCAGGAGTTCCACTTCTTGAATTCACAAGGTTATTTCCAAGGCTAGATCCATCCATCTCAGGATCGCCTTTCAGCCACTTTTATTTAATAAACACAAAGTAGAAGCAGCCAGGGCCTTGAGATCCAGTGGCAAACACATAATACTTCAGCCGCCATGTTGCTGGGGTGGGTGAGAGGTAGCCCCTCTCCATCCCTCTAGGGAGAGCCAGAGAGGGTTCTGGCATAATGGGCAAATGAGAAGAGAGCCAGAGCCAGAGAGTAGAATCACACTCCTTTTAAGGTTACTTAAGTCTCCTAGGTTAATGACTACTGCTCTCTGATACAGCTTTGGCACAGGCTCACCCCAACTTCTGCTGTCACAGGGTGGAGGACCAAGGGATCCCCAAAACAGTAAACCCCTAAACATTGAGCAACATGTTTCCTCGGGCTTAGGCTAAGCACCCCATGATATTTGTCCTGGGCATAGCAGATTAGGTGCCTGCCTGTTTGTACCATATCCTCTTTCTACCTCAACCATTACAAAAGCACATCCTTTCTAAGTCATGGTGTAGTCATGGGTCTCATCTGTCCCAGCCTCGATGACATTTGGGGTCTAATTTTCCTCCTGGCATTAGTGTCTCTCATACACCTTTCTTGTTTCTCATGCTTTGTGCATTTGTACATAGAAATCTGAGGCTATGGGTTTTATCGCTTGATCATTTCTTGTCTCCTGTGTACTTCTAGATGTTTCTAATTCTGTTCTTTTTGACATGCAATAGTCTGATATTCCTATTTCTTCTTTCCTGGTTTGTGTCTGTGTCCCTTCTCTGGGGTCTGTTTCAGTAGGCTTGATCACAGGAAAAATGTGTCCTGTCTAATTTCCCTAGTGAATGAAGAACCCCAGAGGATGGACCTTTGTTTAGCTATAGGGTTTCTGGCTTGAGCTAATCACATTGCTTATGAGGGCCTGCTGGGATGAGCTGAGGTGCCGGATGAGGCTGAAAGTATCTGAGAGTATGTTCAGGCCATTTAAAGCTGCATAGCTAGAGCTGGGTGAGGTTAGGCAGTGGGGAGGAGGGGTAGCACATCACCGATGTCCTAGGACTCCTTCTTGGGGTTATTACTTGCATGAAAATAAAAGGTCGGGTGCTGCTGTTTTGTGTTCCTCACTTCCATTGTGTGTGCCTTTCCTCTATATGGGCTTCAGCCTGCTGTGTTCTGACGCTGTCCGAGGATTTCTGGTAAGTCTTTTGCTAACTCCTTGCTTTAACCTCAACTTGGCTTTCTGTTTACCTGCTTGGATTTTGACTTAGACCAAGCCCTTCCCTCCTTACTCTATCCCCCTCCCCTTGGAAAATATCCTCTCGAAGTTAATTGCTGCTATCTCTTCCAAACTTCCCCTACCAACTGCCACCAGGAACAGGGATACCACATTATTTTCTCACATCAAAACAGGAATAAGCCTCCATCCTGGGCTGTGATGATGATGACAAAGCCATTGGTTACCCCACAGACCACACTGCTGAAGCCTCCAGCTCTGTAGACCCAAAACATTATACTCTAGCAACAGTTGGACCAAACCACAGAAGACCTGGACAAGTTCCAGGGAATCTTCCCAGACTTGCAGGAAGTACTGAATGCTCCAGGAGCAGGTGGATTTGGCTGCCCTGGCTGACAAAAGCACAGTAAGTCCCATTTTACTGGGTGGGCTAAGGACCTCCTAGATTTTCTGGCACAAATCAATCTGTTTATGAACCTTTCCTTCTACAGACTTCCTACAATCTAGGCCTAGATGGCCTATGAAATATCCTACTTGCAGGAGCAGACAAGCCCACTGGACCAACTCCTATCTCATGCACCAAAAGACAGTCCATGTTGATCTGATCAAGAAAACATTAAAATGAATATGGAAGGAAAGGGAAGAAAACTGTCCAGACGTCTGTCAAGCCAAGTATCACAGAGAGTAGTAGATATAACCTAGGAAGAAGAGAGTAATTTTAAGGAAATAATATTAATGTTGAGTCAATAATAAAACTGACTAAAATAAAAAATTAAAATTAAAAAGCTAAAAGTTTAAAAAAATCTTTTTTATTCTTTTATTAATTTATTTTTAGTTTTCAACAATCACTTCCATACACTTTTGAGTTTTAAATTTTTCTCCCCATCCCTTCCCCCTCTTTCCTCCTCAAAATGGTGTGCAATCTGATATAGGCTCTATATACATATTCCTATTAAACATATTTTCACATTAGTCATGTTGTAAGGAAGAATTAGAACCAATAGGGGGAACCACAAGAAAGAGGAAACAAAACAAAACAGAAGGGAAAAAAAGAGCAAATAGTGTGCTTCAATCTGCATTCAAACTCCTTAGTTCTTTCTCTGGATGCGGATAGCATTTTCCACCACGAGACTTTTGGAGGTATCTTAGATCCTGGCATTGCAGAGAAAGGCTAAGTCTATTAAAGTTAGTCATTGCACAACATGGCTGTTACTGTGTACAGCATTCTCCTGGTTCTGCTCACTTCACTCAGCATCAGTCCATACAAGACTTTCCAGGTTTTTCTAAAGTCTTCCTGCTCGTCATTTCTTATAGCACAATAGTGTTCCATTACATTCATATAACACAACTTGTTCAGCCATTCCTCAATTGATGAGCATACCCTCAATTTAAAAAATTCTTAAAGAAACCATATGCCTATCTGAAAATGCATAGGTAATGTAAAATGGTGAAGATATCTTTACATGAAGAGGTAAATTCCATTTCATAGGTCTCCCTGAGACTCAGTGAGATGAAACTGATGACTGGAATATGGTTCTCAAAAGGTACACCTTGCTCAAATGGAAGAGGACATCTAAAAGGAGTAGTGAGGTTACATTGTAAATTGAGATATACTCATGTGAAGAAATCCACAAACTGGAGGAGGGGAAACATGGCAGAGCATTTGGGTGAGCATCAGTAGAGAACAAAACAGAAACAATATTGTCATAGGAATATACTATAGGCCACCTGGACAGAAGGAAAACACAGATGAGTGATTCAGGGTACAGGTTGCAAACCTTGCACACAGACCTGGAATACCCTCCTTCCTCATCTCCACCTTTTAGAATTCCTAGTCTCTCTTAGACTAAGCTTAAGCAACATCTGCTACAGGAGGCCTTTTTTGATCTTCGCCAGCTGCTAGTAACCTTTTCCCCTCCCAAATCACCCTTTATCAATTTTGCATATCGTTTGCGTATGTGTATATGTGTGTATGTATGTATATACACACAGATATATAGGTGTGTGTATGTATATGCAGAAAAGAAATCAATTGCTCATCCACATACATATACACACACCTATACAGGTACATATTATTTACCCCAAGAAGGTGTAAGCTCCTTGAGGCAGGCTATGGTTTCGCTTCAGCCTTGTAGCCACAGCATCTAGCAGTGTGCCTGGAACATAACAGATACCTAATAAATACATATTGATTCGTTAATTGATTGGTTGATTCAAGAACTTGACCTTGGACAGTTAACTTTACCAATATGGGCCTTAGTTTCCTCATCTGCATAATGAGGAGGCTATACTAAATTATTTTAGGTTACCTTCCAGTTCTAAATCCTATGATCCTATTAGCCTAAAATCATACAAGACTAACCTCATTTCCTTTTTTGACAGTGTTAGTTCAGGGGAAATGCCATATACATAGAATGCTTACCTGAATTTTAACAAGCATGTGACAGTCTCTAATGCCATCCTTGTAGAAATGGAGGAAAAATATGAGTTAACAATAACACATTTAAGCGGATTTTTAGAACTAATTGAATAATTTGACTCAAAGAATAATCATTAGTAGGTCAGTCTCAGTTTAGAGAGATATCTCTAGTGAGGCCCCATAGAGATTTGTCCCTGATCCTGAATTATTCAACGTCTCTATCAATGATTTAGAAGAAGGTATAAATAGGTATACTTACCATATTTGCAGATGGAATAAAACTGGAATAGCTAATACATTGAATGATAGGGTCAGAATCCAAAAAGATCTCAATAGGCTAGAACAATCTAATGAGATAAAATTTAATGAGGATAAATGTAAAAGTCCAATACTTGAGTTTAAAAAATCAGTTGCACAGGGTCAGCTAGGTGGCACAATGGATAGAGCACTGGCTCTGGAGTCAGGAGGACCTGAGTTCAAATCCGGCCTCAGACACATAACACTCACTAGCTGTGTGACTCTGGGCAAGTCACTTAACCCCAATTGCCTCACACAAAAAATAAAATAAAATAAATTGTGCAAGTACAGAATGGGAAAGCCATAGCTAGACATATCAAGAAAAATAAGAACTAAGGGCCTGTTAAAAGAGTGCAAGTTCAGTATGAGTCAATGGCCCCCAAAATATATAACATAATAAAATTATATATAATACCAAAACAGCAGCCACCAAAAGCTAAAGCAATCTCAAGCTACATGAAGGGAGGCATAGTTTGCAGACCTTAGACAGTGATAATCCTGCTATATTCTGTCCTGGTCAGATAAGACCATATCTGTCTAGCGTGTTCCATTCTGAGCACAATATTTTAAGGACATTGATGACCTTGGCAGTGTCCTAATGACAAGGTGCCAACTTGTGGGGATCATCACTCCCATTTCCAAATGAGATTAGCAACACCTGTTGACCGTGGGTAAGTCACTTAACATCTGTACCTCACTTACCTCATCTGTAAAATAAGAGTGTGGGAGTAGATGATCTCTGAGGTCCCTTTCAGCTCTTGATCTGTGATCCTAAGATCAGATAAAGCAACTGTTTAACTGGAGAAGGGAAGGTGAAAATGAAAACTGTCTTCAAGTAAATGAGGGGCTGAACTAAATGACCTCTAAAGCCCCTTGCAGCCCCCAAATCCATGATCCTATTTGAAGGTTGGTTTTGTGGACCCACTTGGTTGCAGACAACAGAACTATGAGCGAAGAAGAAGCTGTTGGAAGATGGATTTAAGTTTGATATAAACAAAAGCTTCCTGACAAGGAGTTCTGGGGATGGGCTTCTTGGATAGGGGATGGATTCTTCCCCACCATTAATCTTCTAACCTCAACTGGTTAACCATCTGTGGGTATGATGGGGAGTGAATTCTTATTCAAGTCATGGATGGGGAACCTTCGGCCTTGAAGTCACACTCAAGGACCCTCTAGGTCCTCAAGTGAGGCCCTTTGATTGAATCTAAATTTCACAGAACAAATCCCCTTAATAAAAGGATTTGTTCTGTAAAACTTGGACTCAGTCAAAAAGCTGCACTGAGGACCTAGAAGGCCACATGTGGCCTAGAGGCCACAGGTTCCCCACTCCTGGTAGATGATTTCTGATGTCTGTCCCAGCCCTTGAGATGCAACAATTCTGTTCTTCTCAGCTCACAACTTTCTGCCTAGCCCTTTTATTAATGCTTGCCTTAGACTAGGCCTTCTATTTAGCCATTGGGATTTACACTTAGACACCACTCTTTGAGCCCAGATGTAATCTTCCCTTTGGACCTCCTAATTGTAATTAATCTCCAGCACACTTCACCACCACCCCAATTCCCTGGATATGAATTGAGTGGCTCCATTTAAAAAATAAAAAATCCTGCCCAAGTTTTTCTCCCAACAGGCTCACTGCAAAACTTGAAAGTCTAAGAGAGATTCACTCCTTTGGGTTAAGCATTGTTCTCTCTCTGTAATCTCTTAAAAGTAAACATCCTTGGGAAGGTGTGCCTTTCACCTTAGTATGAATGAGTTAAATGATGCTTTCCTCTCAACCAGAAAGACCAGGAGCAGTGGAGTCTTGGGTCCCTAGGGCCTGGGGCAAAGGGTTTGAGAGTAAAGGTAATGGCTGCTAAAGACAAAACTGGCCTGCTTCCCAATTTGGGGTTCTGAATAAAACCAAGAACAATAATAGCTGCCGCAATAACATTAATGCTTTATTGTTCATTATGTGAGACTCGTTTCCTCTCGGTAAAACTTCTTTACTTTAGACCATTATCCTTTTGTAATTAAAACAATACATTTTATCCTCCACTTGGGATTCCTTCCTAGAAGCACTGAGGGTAATTCAAAGTGGTGTACTGAAAGCTTTTATGCAGGTTTCCTCCTCAAGCAGAAGCATCCAGAACTGCTTTATCTGAGTAAGTCCAGTGAGTTATCTCAAAGAGCTCACGATGCCAAGTTATTGGGACCCAGCCACGGCAAAGGCTCTCTACTTGGCATGAAGAAGGTGAAGATGGAAGATGATCTCTACAACTGTCATTGCATAAGCTGGTGTAACTCCCTGTGACTCTCTCAATGGGGTCTTCTCTCCTAAGCATGGCAACATTTCCAATAGCATCTGTAGCTGAGAACAGGCGTATTTCTTCCAGGCATGCCTCCCTTTACAGAAATTCCTAGCTTCAAGAAATGCCCAACTGAACCGTGAGCTTTGCTTTCCTCACCAACAACAACTAAACTGATGGAATTTGGGGAGTCCTGTGCTACCATTGTGGGTGGTGGATTTAAAGCTGGTCTAGTCCAATGCCCTCGTTTTACCCATGAGTCCAGAAAGGTAGGTAGTAAGTGGCAGCCCTGGGATTTAAACCAAGGTTTTCGGACTCAAGGCAAGATTGTGCAGTGGACAGAAAGCTGGAGTTGGAGTCAGTAAGACTTGGTTTCATATCCTGCCTCAGACACTTAAAAGCTTTGTGACCTGAATGAGTTGCTTAGCTCCTGTCAGCCTCAATTTCCTCATCTGTAAAATGAGATTGAAGTCAATAACTCTTAAGGTCCTTTCCAGTTCTAATTCTATGATCCTATAACATCCTTTCCCTGTGTCTCTTCTAAGAAAAGTCTGTCCATTGGAGCACTCGGCATCCTCTCTCATATGCACTAAATCCTGTCTGTCTAATAAATGCTGACAACATTCAGCTTTTTGCTAGGTCCAAAAAAACAGTCCCTAAAGAAAAGAAGAGACATCAGTTTGATTAA